GAGAGAGAGAGAGAGAGAGAGAGAGAGAGAGAGAGAGAGAGAGACACCAAGTTCTCTTTCAGATAAATGGAAAACAAAAGTCAAATTTTGTCTCAGGGAACTGAAAACTGAAACTCAAGTTCTGCTCCTTTCTGCAGTGTGATTGTATCTCCACGGTGCTTATCTATTATAAACCTCACACAGGAAAGTAGCGGAGGAGGGGGTGCCCTACCCCCAGTAGCACAGATGGGAGAGCCAAAATCACACAGTGGCTGAAGTCAAACTGGTCTTCCTAGATTTGAGGGAGTGACCTTGGCCAGCACACCCCAAATCCTGCTTCGTTTTCCTTTCCTCTGAAACGGATTCTGGAGCTCATCCAACTTGGCAGAATGACTTGGGAGATTTTAAAAACAAACACAAAGTAGACTATGTACAATGCTTTGATAATAAAAATGCCATGAGTGCTTCAAAGGCACATTGTACAAGGTAATTATACCAGATCACAATATCAAATGTACCGTGTGTACCTTCCCCCAACCTTGTTTTACTATAAGTTCTACTTTAAAAATTTTGACCTGATAAGAGGACTTGATATTGTGGTAGAATGTACAACTGTATCATTTCTCATTCTCTCAACATTTAGGACAGCTCATAAAATAAAGTCCCATAGTTCCTCTTCACTTGCTCCACAGCTAAAACTCAGATGGCACATTTGCAAACTCAGTGAAAAGAAGACGCTTATTTGGCTGCTTTTGGGGGCAGAATGTTCTGAACAAACACAACCATCACTGCAGTAGAGTGATACATGCAGAACGAACTTCGAACTTCGGTTGGGTAACTAGGACTCTACACCCGCATTGTTTTAACACATAGCTACTAGCTTTGAGTGAGGAGCTCTGGTGTCACAGTGGTTAAAGTACCTGGATGCTAATCAAAATGTTGGCAGTTCAAATTCCTCAGTCGCTCTACAGGAGAAAGATGTAGCAGTTTGCTTCTGTGTAGATTACAACCTTGGAAGCTCTAAGGGGCAATTCTACTTTGTCCTCTCTGGTCACTGAGTTAGAATGGACTCAAGGGCAGTGAGCTGGGTTGGAGCCATGAGTGGCTTTTGAACACGTGAAATCCTACCCAAGTTGTGTACAATACCCACCAGATTTCAAAAACTCAACATTAAGAACTGAATATTTTATCAAACTTTTATGCTGATACCTTGAAATGGTATTATCTGAATATTTGAAAGTAAATAAAACATAATACTAAGATTAACTAAGTACTGCAATAAAAATATGACTTCATTTTTGTAACATACTGCTATCTTTTATATATTAAGTTAAACAAAAATTAAATCATTGCATTGTATTAAAACCAGTATTGAATTTCAAAATACATTCCAGTCTCTTTTTATTTGTTTTTAAATGAAGATCCTAGGGGGAAAAAATTCTCATTTGGGCTTGCTTTATATTTCTTTTTTTTTTGCTTTATATTTCTATGCAACAGTGCTTGCTGTTCTACACCAGCTATGTCTTTCCATTTTTGATACCCCATCTTTGTACTCACTCATCAGTTCTCTTAGGAAAAGAGGAGGGCTGCTTATTTTTCAGAATCATTCATGCTGCAACTAAGGAATAAGCCATTCTTCAGCGACACAAGCAATCTTGGGTAGGCCTGTTCATTCATAGGGAACCCCATTTCCTTCTCTTTCCACGCGAGTATCCTTCCCATTAGGTGGGAAATCTTGCTCACCTCTGTAGTTGTTAGGGGGATTCCTAGACCTGGCTTCTGGCCGAGGTCTTCTGTCATCCATGACTGAGTCACCTGAATGTCTTCACCATCCACGTTACTCTCAGATATCTGAAAATCTGCACAGATTGAGAGTTAGCAGTTTTTTAAATATGCCATCTAATAAAAAACAAAACAAAACAAAACCCCCAAATGGCACCAAGCCAGTATTCCTGCTTCAACATTTTAATAATACAGCACCTAAGTCTTAAATGGACATTTTAATCCTGGGCACAAGGACTCAGCTCTGTGAATGGCTGTCTTAGTGTTTTGGTGTTGCTATAAGAGCACTACATGGGGGCTGGTACTGCAAGTGGGTGGCTTCACTGAACACACTTTCATTTTCTCCATGTAGGCTACAAGTCTGAACTGAGGACACAAGCTCTAGGCGAAGAGCTTGTCTCTTTTTGTTGCTGTTCCTCACTTCCTTGACAATCTTCATATGGCATCTATTGCTCTGCTTTTTTGCTTCCTTTACTCTATGTCAAATCTGCTCTTTTCAGATTTCAAAAGTACACTAAGTACAGGACATACCCTACACTTGGGGCATGTTATCAGGAGGGGCCAGTCCCTGAAGGACATGATGCTTGGTAGATCAGTGAAAAAGAAGAAGGTCCTCAAGGAGATGGAGTGACCCAGTGGTGGCAACAAAAGGCCAGAACACAGAGATTGGGAGGGTGGTGCAAGACTGGGGAGTGCTTTGTTAAGTTGGACAGAGTGCCACTTCAAGAGTCACAACAGACTTAGAGACATCTAACTACACACTGATAGGGCCTCACTAACTAAGAAAACCCTACTCCCAAATAGGACTAGATCCATAGGGACAGGGTTTAGGATTCTAACATATATTTTGGGGACATAACCTATAAGAACTAATTAAGTTATACAACATTAAACTTGCAATTTAGATAATTCAAGGTATCAAGTTACCCTTCTCTCTTTATCTTTGTACTTTCATGGGGTAGAGGAAGTGACATCAACTCCCAAGCCAAATTGTGCACTGTTTGGTTTATGCTTTTAGCCTAGCAGTTGCTAGGTTTCGTTTCTCTCTCCATTAAGCACACAAATATTGTTGGCAGGGTAAAGAAGAGTACATATCTGTTCATTCAAAACCATGCACTCAGTACCCCATCCGGCCCTTATAGACAGTAGTCTATAGTACTCTTTCGTTTGTAAATAATTAGTGAGTCGTCCTTTCTCCTACTCTTCGGAATGCAGCCAACTGAATAAGACCTCTGCTTTCCTGCATCAAGAGAAAGAAATTACATGTTTCAATAACCAGGAGGCTTAGCAGCAACTACAGGGTGCTGTTTCCTTGGGACTCGTTGGAAACCTGCAATTCTTCCCTTCTCTTTCTTCTATCTGGATGATTTTTGACCCTGGTCCTATGGAAGTGTAGGAAGTGCAAGAGGAAGAAAATACCCCTTTGAGGAACTCTCAATCCAGTTCATAGGCATCATGTGAGCTGGGGCTAAGAAAAGAGTAGGTGACTCAGAGCACTCAGCAAAAGGACTTTTTTGAGTCTGTCCCTCTCGCGGAGTTTAAAAATGTTCATCGTGGGAAGCTTTGAAGAGTTTGGCATGAGGGTGGGCTAGCTTTTCTCCTTCAGAGAGGGCGTCCCTTTCCTGTCGGCTGGGCATATCTTTGGGCCCGGTCTGTCTCTCCTGCACTCGCGTTTGGGTTTCAAAATGCTCCGAGCGAGGGGGGTGGTGGGGTGGGGAAGTCTTTCTTCCTCTGGGTACAAAACAAAGACAACCCAAGAATTTTCTAGGACTGGGGGCGGGTGGGGGGGGAAGAGGAGCAAATACAAAAAGGGCTGTTGGAAGGAAGGCACAACGGAATCCATCGAAAACGCTATGGGGGGGTGGGGGGGTGTTAAAGCGGTCGGAAGTGGGTTTCTCCGGAATGCGGGGCCTAAAGGCCGGGAGGAGAACCCCAGCGCTGGTCGGGCTGGTATGTGGGTCACAATTCGGGGGGAAAGCGGATTACCGGGGGTGGGGGTGGACGGCAGGACGCGCAGGGAGCAGGAGGCCGAGCCGGTCCCCGGGGCAGGCTCCTCTCCAGGGTCCTGATGGGGTGGGTCGGGGAGAGGCAGGGCGCTGCCCGGGCTGAAACGGACGTGGTAGGGGTCCCCCGACTAGGCTAGGGGGAGCCCGGACGAGTTGGCAGGGGTGAAGACAGAGGTCGATGAGAGGGGGGCGCCTGAGGCCGACGCAATGGGGGCGCGGGAGGTGCCGAAGGTCCTGAGGCGAAGA